TCAGTTTCATCAGTTGTTGTCTGTCGGTGTGGTGGCGGGTACTAAATAGCCTATTTATAGTACACAGAACGTTCCCCTAACGTTCCTATTGTCCCATGAATGTATTTTTTGGGAACCAAACAAGAACGTTATAGGAACGTTCCATGTAGGTTATTTTTAGGTTCCATTTTAATAACGTAAGGAGAATGTTCCGGGAACGTTCCCTTAAGCTTTAGGGGGGGGGACCAAAAAATAAATTTGTTTACTGGGTTGTTATCATCCTAATTGTCATCATTCTTATAATGAACAATTGAACATGCATATAGATGCATCCCACATAGCAACATTGTGTCAGCCCAGATCCGGCCCACATCTGGCACATGGGCTGGTAATGATGGCATTTGGGTGGCCCACTCCTGTTTGCCCGATCTGGGCCACAAGCAAGCCATAGCAATGCCACATGTCAGCCAAGAGCAAAAAAATAAACCAGAACCAGACTTTATCGGAGCCACAAAATCTGTGTATTAAATACGGAGTAATTTCAGCTGTAACAAGCCTGTTAACAAGCAGAATCACTGAAGGAAAGTGAAAAAGAGACGAGCAGAAACACAAGAAGTACATCTGACTTCAGCCACATCCTTAGATTCAATCAAGATAAAAAGAAGACATTCAATCTGTGAAGATCTCAGCAGAGGAGGATTAAACAACTCCACAAATAGCATTACCAGCTTCACTTATTACTAACCAGATTGACTTTATTTCTGTCAGACATCTAGAGAAGTTCTTATTAAGAATTAACAGAGGTTTAACTCTATTGTGTTTCATTTGAAATCACCACAATGGTGATCAGTGTTTCCATTAGTTGGCCTCTAAACTTTTATATCTTTTGTCTTTTCTGGCTGCTGTGTGTTTGACAAACAGGCATTAAAGTGAACCGCAATTTTCAGAAGCACAAAATCAAATCATGTTTTAACCTCACCAAACTGCGAAAGTTGCAGATAGAAATTCGTCCAAACAATACAACCCTTCTTGATAATATCATTCCTTCATTTTCTCTATTGCTCGTGCATTACAACCTGTTTGTGGTTGCAGTGAGAAAATGAAGGGGAAGGGTGACAAATAAACGTGTCACTTTCTCACGACCCACCTCTCTCAAATCCTTTTTGAGTTTTAAGAAACGCATCGCTGACCTATAGTGTGTTGACTAAACATCAGCCTTTAAACACAGATGCAGAGAATGATAATCAGATGATAGCAGTCCTACGATAGCACATTTCATTACTGGAAGTGTAATTTACAGTAAAGAAAGAAGCACAAACACACTTTACAAGCGAACCACGTGTTGGTTTTAAGTGCTAAAACAATAGATATTGAACACGAAGACCGAATTGCACTTTCAGTTTGTCAGTGCTCAGTTTCAGTCTCATGACACATATATAAAACATTTATTTTGATCAAATAAAAGCAGACGAGCAGATGATAACTTGGTGAATGGAATGAAAGATGTCATAGCGTGAGAACGTTTTCATAAGACCGTCAGAAAACCCTTAACGCGTGTTTTCGGCGTGTCATGGAGTCAGAATGACTGTCTGAATGGCCTTTCCATGACCCACGACCTCCTCGGCCTGGCATCACTTGCTCTCTTGTTTTTTGGTCTTTCTGTTGTCTGTCGAGTGCACTAGAGTAGGTGTGTATGGAGGCGTGTGAATCGCGCTGCTCGACCGTACTCAAGATACTCACTGCGAGCACCGGGCGATGACATCATCAGGCATCACAGACTCTCTGCCTCTCCGTTTCATCTATAAGATGGAAATCTGGCGCTGTGTTTGCAGAGAGTCACATCAGACAGCTCAAGACTGTCTCTGACATTTCCACTTCAGGTGTGATGAAACCAAACAAAACCAGAATTAAGAATGAAGATGATTCATTTCTAGACATTTTAGATAATTTACATATGATAAGCTGGAAAAGAAATCACTGTGACACTGTAACATTTTATTTTATCATTAAGATTAAAGATTATATTATTCCAGATTCAAGATTTATTATAACTGTTCATATATATATATATATATATATATAACATTATAACTATATGAAGAGTTCAGATGCAAAAGCCTCTAAATGCCATTTGAAATTTTCTTCTTTAATGAGGATTTTTATCAAACTAGTATATTTAAGTTCAGTAATTTCACTTAAATAACAATTAATAGGTAATTATCATTGCTTTTGCATCTGAACTCTTCATATATATATATATATATATATATATATATATATATATATATATATAGTGTTATTTTATTTTATCATTAATATATATATATATATTGTATATATAACATTATATATAACTATATAATATATATATATATATATATATATATATATATATATATATATATGTACAGTGTTATTTTATTTTATCATTAAGATAAGGACTGATTATAAACAATATAATCAGTCCTTATCTTAATGATAAAATAAAATAACACTGTACATATATATATATATATATATATGTGTGTGTGTGTGTGTGTGTGTGTAATTATTACAGTGAACACTAAAAGGTCATTGGTGAATTCATGAGTCTTGCTGTGTGTGATTGTGAGTTTACGTTCTTCAAAGCGTCACAGCCAAAAGATGGTCTGGACACACAAGCACAAATCACAAATCAATAGTTTCTTGTCCCAGGATTGCTGGGAATCTCAGGCGGGGCGCTTGGACACAGGTTTTTGGGGGAAACCGCATGTAGGCCTGATCTATTACCAGAAGCTTCTTATAAAAGCCCCACATAGAGTCCTCCTGGTGAAGAACAGGGTGTGTACAGTCCTGCCCATTCACACACACACACCCTGCTGGTTCAGAGACTCGAGGTGTCAAACCACACGTCCGAGAGGCAGGGAGATGGACGCTTTTTCTGTCACACAAACACGGTCTGCTCAAGATGAACACGCGCGCAGCACAAGATTTCTCACAGATACGCATTTATACACATGAGAACATTAAAGGCTGAAACATTCATTTAGTTCAGGAATCTGTGCTGAAGTCAAGTCACCTTCATTTATATAGCAGTTTTTACAATACCGATTGTTGTAAATGAGTTCTGTTGTCACTGTAGATTTTCAATGCATTCTGGGAAATGATCAGTTACTGTAAATCTAAATACGGCAGTGCAAATTGACAGAGAAAAACACCACACAAAATTTTGCTACTGGATAATTGTTGTCTGTAAGTTACTGTTACAAAGTTTGTTTGCGTCAGTCCAGCTCGAGGAAGTTCAGTGATGTTTCATTTTTGTTGTAAACAAGTTATTCATTTAGTTCATTTATATATAGCTGCTCTGGAGAAAACTTATGTCGTCGTCCAGCTCAGTTCAGTTCTCATATAATGGTGTCAATACAGGCAAATCAATATTATTGTTAAATATTAAATTAAATGATGCATTAATTAATGTCCCCGACTGAGCCAAAAGCCAATGGCAACAAAGGGGAAAAAGTTCACCAAACTCAACGGCTTGTCAATTCAGGCCTTTGGCACAAACGTTTGAAGTAACACAGTCTCACACAGTCTCATCCCAAGTCGTCATAAAACTGACGTCTTGGGACGTCTTTTGACCATACGTCAACATCCGCCTTTTTAGGGTACCCTTAAACGTCGGCGAGATGACGTTATCGGATCCTAACCCTACCCCAGACCTGAACCTACCCCGTTACCTCACTGACGTTAAAGCTAAAGTGTCTCGGGATCGTCAACTAATCGACGTTTAAGGTACCCTAAAAAGGCGGATGTTGACGTATGGTCAAAAGACGTCCCAATTCGTCAGTATTATGACGTCGCTGTTTCAAGTTATGGCGATCAGATTGCATGATAGATTTTTAAGAACATAACTAAATATGAAGTGATGTACCTGTAATGAATATTAATAAAGCAATATGGAATAAGCTTAAAATTAGATAGTCGACTTCAAAAAAAAAAAAAAAAAAAAAAAAAAAAAAAAAAACATAGTGAAAAAGAGAATTGTGTTTATGTCGCAGCATATTAAAAACGCCAAAAAGCAATGCTCAACTTAAAAATTTAAAAATAAAAATTATAACGTTCACGTCTTTCCAAATATGGCTCTAGGAAATATTTCTTAAGGGATTGCACAGTTCTTTCACGTTTAAAAGGTTATTTTCATTTTTCTTCTTATAAAGTGTTTATGAGCTACTTAATTCATTAAATTCATGTAATTAAAAATAGTTATATAACGTAATATAGATTAATTCATTTACATAAATGAATCCATAAAATGATCCCATGATGGAACCTCATGATGCGTCTGACGAAACCCTTAAAGTTCCATAGATCCTTTTCTAAAAGAGTTTAAGAATAAAATAGCCTAATGTTTGCATTCCCTTCTAAAAATATGCATTGATTGTTGACTGGTTAAAACTGGCATCATTCCTTTTCTGAAATATTTGATGAAAATCCTTTTAGTTTTCACACAAATCTTTCCGTGCACGTCTCAATCTGATGTGTGGGCTTTTTGTAAATCCCCGGTGTGAGAAAACTAAAAATGTGTGACAAGATGATATTCGGGGAAACAGGGGTTTCCTGCACAACTACATTATTTGCATATACATTTTAAATAAATATATTATTTAATTAAATGTATTGAGTTCTATATTTGTATTTCTTTCTTTTTTTATTTCAAATTTCAAGTTGCTTCTACTACAAACATGTAAGTTTAACTTTCAAAAAGTGGCTTGTGATTAAAATTGTACAAAATAATCGATCATTTTAAGTCAATTTGACGAAACATAATCCAGGACATAAGTTTTTTCCAAACAAAATCATAAAACTACATTAAATGAGTTTCTCAAGGCTTTGGCGTGTCTAAACTCATGTAAAGTGACTCGTGAGCGCCGCCTGCTGTTTACATTTGCTGCACTGCTTTAAGAGGAACGTGTTTGTTTTCGAGGACCTGAAGAAGAGTCCTGAGTAAACACAGAAAACCAGATAAATTCACATATATATTTCATGTTGTTATTTCTGTGTTTTGCTTGTGAATCCAGCGGCTCTCTGTCGTGTTGTAATGTGAATGAGCCCATTATGCCCAGGTTGCCATGGAGACCTGAAAGCTGCTTTGGGGCCCTTGAGTGTGAGAATAGGGGAAAGTTAGTGCACGAGAACAAACCGGCCCGCACCGGACCGGGGCTTTCAACACTGCATGAAGTGTGGCTTCGGTTCTGACGACGTATCACAGTAAGTGCATTTCACTAACTTTAAGTATTTTTTGCATATAGGTTAGATGATGTAGTGTGATGAGATTCTGCAGGACTTCGGGTTTCTGGATTCATGCAATCAGCTTTATGTGCCGAATCATATCTCATTATAGACACATTTTCATTTCAATAGTCAAACTTCATAACTAAACATAACTTTAGAAGCTCCTTTAGAGGTGTGTTTACTGAGTTCTGTCACTAGTGTACTGCTGTTACTGAGTGATCAGACGCTGTATTTTCACCTGCTGGACCAGAAAACAGCAGAAAAAAGCCACAGACCCACATTAAAGGTGCCTCATTTCTAGAGACCAACATATAGAACATAAAATCTCATTATCACCCTATATCCACATAGTAGTGCACAAACAACCCCCCAAAACATTGACGCATCCACATAGTAACACACTAACACCCAATCAGAACACCCTGGCAACTGCATAACAATATAACAGCAACCATCCAGAACACTGAAGCAACTGACACCCAAGCACCTATATAGCAACTCACTAACAACCAATTGAAATACCCTAGCAACCGCATAGCAACACGCTAACACCCTACAAACCACATAGCAACGCATCAACAATTACCCAGAATATCAAATCAACTTCATAGCAACACACTAGCACCCTAGTAACCACATAGCAACACACTAACAACCACCCAAAACACTGAAGAACCTACATAGCAGCACATTAACACCCTAGTAACCACATAGCAGCGCTCTAACAACCACCCAAAACAATGAAGCATCCACATAGTAACACACTAACAATCAATCAGAACACCCTTGCAAAGCATAACAATATGATAACAACCACCCAGAACACTGAAACAACTGCATAGCAACTAACGCCCTAGTACCCATATTGCAACACACTAACAACCAATCGGAATACCCTGGCAACCTCATAGCAACCCACTAACACTCTACTAACCAAATAGCAATGCATCAATAATTACCCAGAACATCAAAGCAACTTCATAGCAACACACTAGCACCCTAGTAACCACATAGCAACGCACTAACAACCACGCAAAACACTGAAGAAACTACATATTAACACATTAACACCCTAGTAACCACATAGCAGTGCACTAACAACCACCCAAAACGTTGAAATAGCAATGTAACTAACTCTCAGAACATCAAAGCAACAGCAAAGAAACACATTAACACCCTAGTAACCACATAACAACACACTAACAACCAGAACACCATGACAACCGCATAGCAGTGCCTACCAAAAACTCAGAACCACTGAATTACAATGCCCCAGCATTGAATTTTGAATGTAACATTTTAAACAAACAGTTGCTGTTTGCTTTTTGATTCGTAGATTTGATGCAGTGTTGAATTGACTGAATTTGGTTTCTCCTCTCTCTCTGACTGTAGATGTTCACGCTGTCTGAGCTGTGGTCGGGCGGTGAGCGTCAGGGCAGTTATAAGCTTCTGAAGCCGTGGTGGGAAGTCTTCATGGACTACCTGCTGGTGCTAATGCTAATGGTGTCCATCCTCGCTGGGACTCTTCTGCTGTCCCGGGACGGAGTCGTGTGCGTCCCTGTTCACTCCTTCTCCACCAACTACAGCTCTACTATGGAGCCCATGTCAGATTTCGTATACACAGGTGCAAAACAGTCTCTCGGGAGTCCAGCAAAGGGGCGACGTACCAACTTGGACTACCAACAGTATGTCTACATCAGCCAGGTTTGCTATCACGAGGCGCTTCCCTGGTTCTCGCGCTTTCTACCGTATGTGACGCTGCTCCACACGCTGGTTCTGCTGGCTAGCGGCTGCTTCTGGTTCCACTTCCCGCTCACGTCCGCTCGTATCGAGCACTTCCTGTCGCTCCTCGCCAAATGTTGTGAATCACCTTGGACAACAAGAGCGCTTTCGCACACGGCCAAACTGGATACTCGCTTTTCGGAGGCAGAGCAAGTAACGCGACCCAAAGTGCAGGTAACATCATCGTACAAAACGCGAAAGTCGAGTTTGGACTCGGGAACGGACAGCCCTCTGCTGGCGGGAACTGATAGTGCATCCACTACGACACAACCGTCTCCATGTCCCTCCACTTTATCCCACTGCTCCACGCTTTCCGCTCGGTCGCTTAACGAGCCGCTTCTGCCAGCGCAAGTCGTCCCGGACGGGTCTAGACCGGGAGCCACATTGGACCGCAGCGACAGGGAGCAGGCCAGAGCGTTGTTCGAGAGAGTGCGCAGGTTTCGCGCTCACTGCGAGAGTTCAGATGTTATTTTTAAGGTAACCTATAAGTTAGTTCATCACGTTTACAGTTTTGTCTTATTAGAGTGCTGCTGGTGTGATGTCAAAACCTGGAAGACTGGCATGTTTACTCGACAACGACAAACTGAGTTTTTCCCTTGAGTTTTCCACGTACAGACGGCACCATTGTCAAAACGATTCCCGTTCACACAAATCTGAGAAAACGACTAAAAATGCTGTATTCTTCTGCCAGTCCATTAGATGGCGATGAAACACTATAGGGTGAACACATAACACGCATGTGCATGACTTCATTGTCTTCAGAGATTCTTGTTTTTGTTGTAGAGACTGTTTTCAAAAACTTGCATTTTGAAACCCATTTTCAAAGGTTTGCGTTTTCAGGCGACCAAAACACTGTTGTCGTGTCAATGAACGACCAAAACGCACAAGTCTTCCGTTTTAAGTTGCAAACAGTGAGAACAATATAATCTTTCTTTATCACCACTGGTGGATTGAGTTTCAGTTTCATGTCATTGTTAAACTCAAAACAGCAACTTTTGGTTACTAGCCACAAATGTGGTTTCTTTGTTCTGTTGAACACAAAAGAAGATATTTTAAAGAATGTGGATATTAAGATAGTTGCTGGTCCCCAATGACTAACATAGTGTGTTACATACTGAATAGAATAGAACAGAGTAGAATATAATAGAGTGAACGATCCCCTTAACGACAAGTACATTCACATGTATTTCAACCCCTCGTCCTGTAGGTGTACACTGCTCAGACGGTGTTCAAGGTCCTGAAGTTCGTCCTAATCGTGAGCTACACTACTCCTCTCCTGAGCTCCATCTCCTTCAGTCATGTCTGCCAGCTTCACTCTCACGCTCTGACCGGCTACAGCCTCTTCCAGTGCAGTCATTCGCTGTCCTCCGTCCTGCGCAAGCTGATGCAAGCCTACATCTCTCTGCTGTTTCTGTTCGGCCTGCTGGGCGTCTACGCCCTCTTCTGGATCTTCCACAAGTACGGGCGTCCTCAGACATGAGAGCACTGTGTCCATGTAGTCTGTAGTCTGTCTCCATGTATAAGTGTCAAGAGATTCTGATGACTGAACCAACGTGTCTGTGTTTTAAAAAGTTGCGAAATGCAAATGGAGTGCATCCCAAATATACGCCTGTCTCTTTGGCTGCAGGTTTGGGTAAAAAAAAGCCGGTCTCAAATAGAGGCTGGGTCTGTTTTTTTGATTCGGGTTGTTAATCTTCTAAAACCGTCAGATCATTTATTTATTTTTATTGGTGAGTGATGTAGAATAGAATCACTGCTGCGCTTGCAGGGCACATAATGAGCAGAGAGAGAGAGAGAGAGAGAGAGATACACACTCTCACATCTTCAAACAACACGAGTGCTGTCTTGCTCTCTCTCCCTCGCACATATCAATCAAATCAATTGACACGATAGTAATTGACTCTGATTGGTGGTATTATCTGTACAGCATTATGGGTAATGTACAGTTTTTCTCCAGGAATTCCACTGTTAAACAAGTTATAAAAGTAAGTTTTAAAATAGGTCTTAAACAGAACCATTTACCATCGATTAACTAACAGGTTCATAAGTCAATGTTACAAATCTTTTTCCCATTTTTACTTACCCGACTGTTGTAATCTATAATGGTTTGAGAAGAATCTATGATGAAATCTTATTGAATATGCCTAATCCTCAGGTCTTTGAGGCAGTACTCGTTCCAGAGTCTACGTGAGAAAGGATCCATGTTAGACGCACCTGACCTTCACAATGACATGGCATTCCTTTTGCACATGGCCGACCAGTACGACCCTCTGCTGTCCCAGCGCCTGTCTGTGTTCCTTTCGCCGGTCAGCGAGACTCGCCTACTGGAGGAGAGTCTAGAGCGACGCTGGGGAGCCGAGCGCTTGCGGTCGATGATCACAAGTGACTCACAGGGCCAATCTCTGCTGCAGCTCGTGGCTCTTCCTCGCCTGCCGCCGGCCCTCTTCACCCTCAGCCAGTTACAGGTGTTGAAACTGGAGCTGATCGGAGACGCCAAACTCACAGCACAGATATCTAACATGACCACACTCAGGTGGGTGTTCACATTGACACACACGAGAACAAGGTCAAGGTAGAAAAGCGCACATATATATAAGCTGATTATATATAGATAGTAGTAGTCATTAAATCCTGCCTATTAACACACACACGACCCACAGAAAAGACGTGCGTCGGTATCGAGTTCTCTTTTGGGCTTGAACAAACACAAAATATGCCAAAATGTCCATAAGAGCAGTCTTAAACGTAGAGATTTGTGAGAAAATGGGACGCGTGTCAGATCACTGTCTGATCAACGGCTGTCCGAATTCGCTCACTCGTTTTTACTTACTCCTTCTCATTCACTCCTTCAAGTGAACAGTATTAGTGGACTAATATAGTGAATAGGCCTAGTAAATGAGGGTTTAGGGGGTGATTTCGGATTCAACCCATGTTCTCAAGCAGTGAAAAATAGAGGACACTGACAACGCGTTGACAGGCACGACCGAGCAGGTAATATTTAATCGGAAACAGTCTCAACTTTCAAATTTGGTCGAAAATTACTTCAATAGTAGTCAAAGAAAATCAAACAATAAATAGGGCTACCGTTTTGTGGCTCTTTAATGTGTCATGACAGATTGCCTGATAAAGCCAAGTTCCACCGACTCTACTTAATCTACTAACTCTCCTGACTGCTTTGTTGGACAAAAATGGTGGATTTTGATTGGTCAGACCACATGTCTGTCAATCAAAAGTTAGTTTCGTTTTCAAACTAATGTAAATTAAGGGCACAATAACAAAACAGTTCTTTCCCGCACTACCGCACCGTTATGTATGCCCGTGAAAACGTGCGCATTTTACGTTTGCCTTTAAATTAGCGATTTAAAAGCCCCCGCCGGTGACACCGGTATTACCGGTGTTGTCACACGTCGATTAACCGGTGAGAAAATATCGGCACACAATGTGACATGAGCACAAAAGACTCTGACACATACCTGTTTCTAAGATGTCCTGTAGACCAGAGGTTGTTGTATGTATTGATGAGGCGTGTATACTCCTCAGGGAGCTGCACCTCTACCACTGCACTGCCTCAGTGGAGCCCGCAGCCCTGCAACACCTTCAGGAACACCTGGAGACCCTGCACCTCACCTTCACCCACGCCTCCGAAATCCCGGCCTGGGTCTACTCCCTCCGCGGCCTGCAGGAGCTGCACCTGAGTGGGAGGTTGAGCAGCGAGGGCGGGATGGGGCGCGGCTGGGCCCTTGTGAGCCTCCGACAGCTGCGGCACCTGCGAGTCCTGGTGCTGCGCGGCGCGCTCCAGACAATCCCGGGGGAGCTCAGCGAATTAGCCGGGAGTCTGGTAAAACTGGAGATATACAACGAGGGAACTAGGTTGTTGGTGCTTACGGGACTGAGGCGTTTAGCCGGATTAGCAGAGGTGCAGCTGAACGGATGCCAGTTGGAAAGGTTGCCTTCAGCACTGCTAGCGCTCACAGGTCTACGTATTTTGGACCTGCAACACAATAGCCTGCGTACCTTAGAGGAGCTGTTGGGATTGCAGCATCTGCGCCGTTTGTCCAGTCTACGACTTGCTTGTAATCAAATCTTGGCTCTTCCGGCTACTGTAGGAGTGCTGCGCTCGCTAGAGCTCTTGGATTTAGCGCATAACCAGCTGCGAAACTTACCGTCGGCTCTCTTCACACTACGCAAACTGCGACGCCTCCTGCTGGCCGGGAATCTTCTGGAAGTGCTTCCGGCGGAGGTTGGCGCTCTGACGCTGCTAAGCGAACTGGACCTCAGCGCTAACCGACTCGAACGCCTTCCCAAGGAGCTGTTTGGAAGCTGCATAGAACTTCGCAGCTTGAACGTTGCGAATAACTCGCTGGGATCTTTGCCGGCGGGTCTAGGTGGGTTGACTCAGCTGTCCCATCTGGATGTGCGGGGCAACAGTCTGGAGGAACTTCCCGTCGAGCTGGGGTGCTGTTTTGGGCTCCGTGGGGGCGGGTTTCTTGCGGAAAATTGGCTGATGCACACCTTACCTCGGCAGGTCAGGGACGTCCTGCAGCAGACTGGCTCTTCTGAACCTCCGTCACGACCCAATTCGGATTGCTTTCCTAACTTTTCGACTGCGCAGTGGAGCTTTCACTCTGCACTGGAATCTCGGATATAAAATGATAGCTTCAAAGTGAACTTACAGACTCTGGAGTTTGTTTTTTTATTAACCATATTTTAACAACCCTTGTGGGAAAAGTGGTACACTTTGGTATACCTTTAAAAAGAGTTTTTAAGAAAACTGTACTTTAAAAGAATATATTTAAGTGTGAATGAGTGTGCACTCAAATAACCTGTAAAACATAAAAGAATAATGCAATAATTTCTCCTTATAGGACCTTTTTGGAATAAAGGCTTCTTTAAAATTGGGTCAAGATCCCTTCGATAGAGTTCGATAGAGACACCCATTGAACCATTTTTCTATTGTCTTTGAAATATGTTTAAAGTGCACTACTAAATGACAAGCATTTAAAGTAAACCAAAATATTTCATTGTCTTTTCTATTGAAACTTGTGTTATATTTTAAATATATCAAATTGCTACTTCATCAATAGGATTAGGAATATTTTTAAAAACATTAACTTATTACATGTTATATCAAATGACATGCTGCAGTACCTGTGCTTTAATGTTAATCGAAATAATGAGTGTAAGTTGATAAAGCATGACAAGATCATCAAAACATAATGGTTTAAAATGTACTTTGAACTAAAACTTTTAATTTGGCATTATTACTAAGTGAACATTTTTTTTAAACTGTACCTTTTAGTGTAACTTTTTCACTCACTAAAGTGGCCTTTTATTTAATTAATATTATATTATCTGAAAGTACTTTTTTATACGCTTTTAAGATGATACCATTCCTATATTATTATCATAGTAATAATATTACTAAACTGAGTCTGGAAGAGCCAATCTCTTCCCTAGAAGACTTTTTGATGTAACATCTATGGATAAACTGTTGTGACAACGACAGACAAAATTAAAAAACATTTTACCTTAATTAATAGGTTGATGTCTGACCCAATGTGTGAGGTCCAATTAACCCATTGTAAACCTCTCTATTCTTGACAAACTATAGCTCTTAAGACTCTAGTTTACATACTTGGTGTTTTTTATTAATTTGTGATAACTAATCTGAGTCATAAGGCGAGTTCAAACCTTTTTGTATGAAATAGTGATGCACATTCTAGTTTTATCTCTAAAAATGTTTAAAATATAAAGAAATATTAACAGATATTAATTTATGATGCATTATTAATGCATGTCAGGTTGCTTTCCACATGTCATTTTTTATGTGTTAGTTAGATGTTGAATTCAAATAAAAAAAGTCATAATTACCCATACAAAAAAATGCATTACAAGTTTTTTGTTTCTGTTATATGTCAACAAGATTTAATAAGACATTTCCCCCTGGCTATACCCAATGTTTAGATATGTTGTGATGTATGATGTCATGTTGTGCACAAACTGTACGTAATTAGATAATGCATTGTTTGTCCATATTAACAAACAATTAAAAATATATCTTTTTTTGTGTCACAATTTTTTGTGTCACTTTATATCACAATTTTGTATGTAGCGGAAAATGGCGCAGTATATACATAATTTAATAGCATATTTACTGTTTTAAGACATTTATATTAATATTCCTTCATAAACTACTAGCATATATAATCAAACGTTTCAATCACCTTCACAAACTTCAGAAGAGAGCTACAAAAATCCCGCCTACCTCAAACGCGCCCAACGCGAGCACGACTTTAACGCCCCAAAGTTCAAGTTCCAACATCCAATCACGACAGTCATTCTTCTCATTTGTATAAAACTGACGCGTTCGCCAGCCAATGGGCGTGCTTGTTCTTCAGGAGGCGGGATATCCGGGCGGTAGTATAAACTGTGGCCTGTTGTCGCGTGTGGTTCGAGACAGCAGTGCTTCTTCATACGTATTCCTTGCGCACCGTCACCTACAGGTAATGTAAGATGATTTCTCAATGAAACCTAGTACGGGTTTTCCTAATAACTTTATTTATTATACATATAGCCCTGTATGTTTTATGCAACAGTGAAGTTTGTTATGAGATCGACGCGCTATGTCATTAGCTCGTTAGCTGCGCGTGCTAACAACAGCGCACGATAGGAATTAGAGCGCGTGCGCGAATTTGTTTTCTGTTGTTATAATATATCTCGTTTTTTCGCGGCTTCGGTGCTGGTAAACTGCATTTAACATAAGCCCGTGTGTGAAATTTATTTTATTTTATTTTTTTTGCGTCTCCGTCATTAACATAATTTACGTTAGTAGTAAACGCCGCTTTATTGTCCGCCGCCCGTTCGCGACGAAACGTTCGTTACAGGAGTTTCACATCTAGACTAATGTGAATTTCTCTTTTGCTCGTGATCGCTTTGAATATTGACTTATAATTTCATATGATAGCGTCACAACATTGACGCGTATGGTTAAGGGGCCCGGTCCAATTTCACTGAACTCGCTGCGTAGACACAATAGGTACCACGATGTTTATTTTGCTCTGCTTTGACTCAATTTGTCTATGAACCATGTACTCCGTTAACAAAACATATGAGTTGCACTTTATTTTAATGTGACGTTGTTCCATTTTACTTGCTCAAGTGCGTATAGTTTATGGATTAAGGATTACTATACAAATGATTACTATAGTAACGTTAGTCACACCTAATTACTAAACTGTGTACTTATTAAGAGTTATTGTTTAGGGTTTGTTGCATTTAATTATGCATAACTGTTATTACTAGTAGTTACACGCTTTTTGTTATAGTAGTAATGTGTAACTACGTCACCTCAAAATATAGTGTTACCAAAATATGTTCCATGAGCATTTGGTCCCATTAAGCAATGACAACATTATTTGTGAAACGCCCAGTTGTGTTCGTTTCTGGCTCAATAGTGATCAGGCTGGTTTGTTTACATGGTTCTTCTGTCCTGTGGGTTTATTTTGGCTTAATTTCATGGTGTAGTTGAATTGATAGCAACTTTTTCTAGCTGTTCTCCATGCGTTTCCTAATGGCTCGCGCCTTTTGACCCAGGAAAGTGTGAATCTGGTTCAGGTGTGATTTTTAAATGCCCTGCTGCTTTATAATTGGGTCTTCTCACTGCTTTTGTCTCCAGAATGGCTGAGAATGATGTTGAAAACGAGCTGCTGGATTATGAAGAGGACGAGGAGCCTCAAGGAGCCCCGGAGAGCGTCACTCCTGTGGGCAAGAAGGAGGTGAAGGGCTCGTACGTCTCCATCCACAGCTCGGGCTTCAGGGACTTTCTGCTCAAGCCGGAGCTGCTGAGGGCCATCGTTGACTGCGGGTTCGAGCATCCGTCTGAAGGTCAGGCACACGCTACTTATGGCTGGCTAGATGAGCAAGCGCTTGATTCGATTTTGATTCCCGCTTCGACTCGATGATAGGCTTGCCGCGATAGACGGTGTTGACGGTGTTACCGGTTTTAAGCCCCATCACCGGTGACATCACTTTCCCACCGTGACACCGCGATGTCTTGACTTTTTTTTTTAAAGTATTCGTTTTTGCTAAAATATTTATTTGAATTAATTAAAAATAATAATTTTCAATTATTTAGTTCTGAAGAGAGCATTATAATTAAAAATGAACTGCGCAACGCGTGCCGTCACGTCACAGATCAGCAAGCATCAGGATTCCATTTAGCACGTGTGGAGACGAGAACGAGTCAAATTACAGAAAAGCAAGATAATGGCGGAAGATTTGGTGTCAAAACGCAATGCAAAAGCGCCTGTTTGGCAATATTTTGGCCAATATATATTAATGTTAATAAATGCCAATTTATAGCGTTTTACTTTTTTTTAGAGTGCTGTCATTTATGTAGGCTAAGGTCCTTTTTAAAGTTTTTATTTTATATTCGTCTCTTTTTATTTGGTTTTATCTTATTTAAACTTTGTTTAATTTATTTAGGCCTATTTTGTTTTCTTATTCGTTAATAAACGTTTAATTTTTTTTTTTTTTGGGCCCACAGTTTGCCGATTTTCACTTTTTTCAGCCTATGCATGGGGTTATTTTTATTCGTTCGTTATGCTAATAAAAGTTCTGTCTATTTTATTCGTTTATTATTATAATAAAGGGCTGTCTAAATAAAAGTTTATTGTCAGCGAGTTGTTTTTTTGTTTGTTTTTTTTTCTCCATTCCAGCAATTGACGCTGAATTGCAATTGACGCTTACTTCGAAAGTGAAAGTATGTCATTTATGTAGGCTAAGGTCCGTTTTGAAGTTTTTATTTTATGTTCGTCTCTTTTTAATTGGTTTTATCTCATTTAAACTTTGTGTAATTTATTTAGGCCTATTTTATTTTCTTATTCGTTAATAAACGTTTTATGGTTCTTATTTGTTTGGGCCCACATTTTGCCGATTTTCACTTTTTTCAGCCTATGCATGGGGTTATTTTTATTCGTTCGTTATGCTAATAAAAGTCTATAAATAAAAGTTTTATTATCAGCGAGTTGTTTTTTTTTTGTCCATTCAAGCAATTGACGCTTATTTCGAAAGTGAAAGTATAACGCGCACGCATTTAAAAGCTATTTAACCCCCCCGCCCTGCCCTCCACGGTGACACCGGGATTACCGGTGTTGTCACACGTCGATTAACCGGTGGGAAATTTTCCTCACCGCGGCAACCCTACTCGATGAATATAGATTTTAAACAAATCCCATAGCTATAATAAAGTCAACAAATTTACAAGTGGATAATAAATAAATGAAGAGCAGCAAACCTCTATATTAAACTCTTTTGATGCCACATGAATTGATGCTGACAGTCGCATGCCTTGATCAAACAGGATCCGGTTATATTATGTTTTAAGATAAAACGTGCATGAAATCTCTCCGCATTAGCTGTAACATGGAGGCTGCAAGCCTGTGACCAGTGGAGGAAAACTAATACTGGCTTTTATTTTCATATTGTCACTGTGAAGCTGCTTTGATACAATCTGTATTGTAAAAAGCGCTATATAAATAACGATGACTTGATGGGTGATTGTTGGATAAATACGGAAAAAAATAGGTTTGTTGCCTTTAAGAATCCATTTGAATCGACTACATTTTTAAAGAACGATTAATCGGACAATATTTTGCCCGTGTATGTGCATGTTGATTATCCCGGAGAGTAAACGTGGTGTTTGTGTTTTTAGTGCAGCACGAGTGCATCCCGCAGGCCATCCTCGGCATGGATATCTTGTGTCAGGCCAAGTCCGGTATGGGCAAGACGGCCGTGTTTGTGCTCGCCACCCTACAGCAGATCGAGCCGGTGGAAGGACAGGTTAGTGTGTGTGTGTGTGTGTGTGTTACACTTCTGTTTATGCATCAAACAATAGCACTCAGGGGTTTGAAGTCACCAACTCGGGGAGCTGATTTAAATTGTATGAAACATTTTAATTAAAATACTCATAATTATAATTTTCTCTTTTAAAGACTCATTAGGAAAAAAAAGTCTGCATAACATGAACTTTAATTGACATCATATTACTGTGAACATGTGACTAACTTTGATTTCATATTTAAATGCAACAAGTTAATAAATCACATTGTGTAAATTGAAATTTAAAATTAGTTTTAAAATATTACATAGAAATGTTTTTGTCTGCCTGCATCTTGTGAGTTAATTATTTAAATATTTAGTCTTTACAATACATTTTTAAAAATGTTCATTTAATTGACAATGTGTTAATTTATTAAAATTAATTAAAGAGATCGTTAATAATAATTGAAGCAGTCTTTAACTTTGATTTGAAGGTCCTTTTAACAAATATTCGATGTTTTTAATTTTGTTTCTATGACTATACTTGGGTATGAGTTTGAAATCATTAACTCAAGAGTCTCACAGACTGGTGTTTGTGAGCTGATTATTAAAGTTGTTTTTTTCTGCGTAACTAACATTAATTGGCATAATAGTTGTGAACATGTAACTGTTGAATTATTTCAAGTTAATCATTTTTAAAATGAAACTTGGTGAATATGTAAATGCTTATGTAAAATTAGTTTTTTTTTTTAAATTGCATTTGAAAGTTAATTATTGAAATATTAAGTCAATGCCAAATTAAAACTACATCTTATATTTGTTTTGATTGTAGTTAATTTATTAAAACACATTTAAAAAGAGAACCTTGAACAGGTCTAATAATTGAAGGATCCTTTTTAACTTTGTTGATTTTAAGTCTTTTTAAATACTCAATTTTGTTTAGTTGTTTATTAATTTCATGTGATCTATTAACAAACTGAACTTGTTATTTATGCTGTTTAATAATTAAAATATTAATTAATTTGGTCATTTAAAAGTGATCATATATATAATTTTCTTTCTTTTTTTTTTTTTGTGATCTTTCCCTTGAATTTGAAAGAGTTTGTCACCAAACACTTTTTGGCCACTATTGACTTCCATAGTAGGGAAAGGAGTATTTTGTGAGTCCATGGTGGCCAAGGTGTTTGGTGACAAGTTTGTTAACATTTCACTATTCAGCAGTCATTAATGCTGGTGTTCAAGTGGCCCTAATTACTGCTCACAAGTGTGTAACTTGCGAAACTCGAGACCGTCGACTCGTGGGTTAATGAAACTTGGAGCTGATTGTGTTTCCTGTGGTGCAGGTGTCGGTGCTGGTCATGTGTCACACGCGTGAGCTGGCCTTTCAGATCAGCAAGGAGTACGAGCGCTTCTCCAAGTACATGCCCACGGTCAAGGTGGCCGTGTTCTTCGGCGGCATGTCCATCAAGAAGGACGAGGACGTCCTGAAGAAGAGCTGCCCTCACATCGTTGTGGGGACGCCGGGCCGAATCCTCGCGTTGGTGCGCAACAAAACCCTCAACCTGAAGAACGTCAAGCACTTCGTCCTGGACGAGTGTGACAAGATGCTGGAACAGCTCGGTGAGCGTTTGGAGGAAGTGCGCTTGAGGTGTGTGTGTCGAACGGAGCCTGTGGCGATTCTCATGTGTGTGTTTCTGTGTCAGATATGAGGCGTGATGTACAGGACATCTTCAGACTGACGCCTCATGAGAAGCAGTGCATGATGTTCAGCGCCACCCTCAGCAAAGAGATCCGGCCCGTCTGCCGCAAGTTCATGCAGGACGTGAGTGACGTCTGTCCGCTTTAGTGAGGTTACTTTTTGTGATCTCTTATGTTTGCACAATTTTCTACCTTCAAATGTTGTTGTTTTTGTGTCCATAAAGTTTAAGCATGTTATAATATTGCCTTGGAAATGAGCTGAAATAAGTATTAGTGTATATATACATATTAGTAATACACTCAAAAATAATCTGTTGAACAAACTTAATTAAATTAAGGAAAGGTTTTCCACGAAATTGAATACATTAATGCAACAAGATTACAACAAATTATTTCACAATAATTTGAATTTGTTGGAAAAATTTAAGTCATTCCTACTAGATAAAGTTTTGTCAGGTTAACTACATTTAGTTTTGTCCTGCCTTAATTCACCAACATTATAATTGTACTTATTTTGACTATGGTCACTTCTAATGATGGACACTTTTAGTGTTCAATTGAATTAAACCATTTTTTTTACATGGTAATATTATATTATTTGTGCATGACTGTGAGTGAGGTTTGCACAGTGCATACTGAGTACCCACAGCCTGAACAGGAGGTTTAAAGCACATATAGTGTAATATTGTGTCTGAACACAATACTCACCCAAACACAGTCACCACTCTTCTGCATAATGGTTGCCACAAAATTCAAACACTAACATTAACATCTTTCCATTTACTGAAAAACACATAAAATAACACTTTTTCCATAAATTGACCCTCTTAATGCAGTCCCTTGCAAAGCATGCTGGGAACTACAGATCCACTGCCCAGTTAGATGTCAACAATGATTCATGTAGATTTCACACAAATGAATTAGGTTGATTGAACACAATTAAATTAAGTTGTCACAATATTAAACAATCACGTTACTTTTGCTTATTTTAATTAGTTATTTTAACAAGAGGCCAAAATTCATTTTTTTTTGAGTGACATCCGTTTAAGACGAACGGAAAATATTCATGTTGACTCAATAAAAAAAAAAAAATTGGTAAACCAAGTTTTTAAAAGATTACATTGATTACATTTAATTAAATTAAAGTCGTTTTTTTGAGACATCCGTTTAAGACGAACGAAAAATATTCATGTTGACTCAATAAAAAAAAAAATTGGTAAAGCAAATTTTTAAAAGATTACATTGACTACATTTAATGAAATTAAAGTCGTGTATGCTCATTTTAATTAATGAAATTGAACAAGGAGCTAAAATCATTTTTTTGAGTGTAATATAACTATTAACTTTATGGACACAAAACTAACCAACTCAAGTTTGTAATATTAGTACTGAAAACGATTAAAATAAATGTTGCCTTGGAAATTGGCTGGACGTACTAATATAATATAACAAACTTAAAACTATATAGACACTTTAATAAAGCAATACGAATTTAACTGTAAGCCACGGCTTCACAGGGTTTGTTACTAAATGGTTAGTCCATAAAAACATTTATTTTAATATTAGATGCAACAAGTTCACAGTTGTACGTGTAGAGTATTCTACAGTGACCTTAAATGTGGCTCAGCCAATCAGAACCAGGGACCGCAAGTAACCATTTTATTTTAACTGAATCAAGGAAACGTTCACCATATGTGAAGTAAAGCTCACAAATATAATAGTACCATTATTGTTAATCATGCCTTAACTAACAATGAGCAAAACATTTGTTGCGGTATTAATGTTATTAAAAATATTAAACTAGTATATAAGATAACATGCCATTATAACTAGAGCCAGACCGATATTATCGGGCGATATTAGGCATTTTCCAAACTATCGGTATCAACAGTTATAATGACCGATAAATGAATATTTCAAAAATAAAATAAAAACGGACAAAACACGCTTGAACCATGTCATGAGTGTTGGAGTTGTATAGTTTGTCCACCAGAGGGCACTCTACACCGTTCCTGTTGGCAACACTCGTTGAGTTGGTCACGATACATACATTGCTTAAATAACAATTAAAAGAAAATCCCCAGCAGTTCTCTTAACTCAAATAAGCATGACAAAATTTGTGACTAATCATCTCCAGTTTAAATAAATAAATAAAATATCGGCCGATAGATCAGAATATCGGATTTTAAAACCCAAAAATATTTGTATCGGCCTTCAAAATCCTTTATCGGTCGGGCTCTAATTATAACCACAATTTGTTTTCTTGTATTTTAAGAATTGAGCCCTTTTGTGTGCAGTAGCAGCGTTTAATAAGTTGTCCGGCTGTGTGATTGTTATTGCTTGAGACCGGATGCTCTTCGCTCGTCGTAGCCTGAAGTGTTGTGGTGTGTGTTCAGCCGATGGAGGTGTTTGTGGACGACGAGACGAAGCTGACCCTTCACGGCCTGCAGCAGTACTACTGCAAACTGAAGGACAGCGAGAAGAACCGCAAGCTCTTCGACCTGCTCGACGTCCTGGAGTTCAACCAGGTGAGCGCTGGGCCAGTCTTCACATGTGTTCACTTCTGATTTCTTGCTTTGTGTCAGAAGTGTTGAGGTTTGGTGTTCTTGAGGGTGATTCTGTGTTTGTCCTGCAGGTGGTGATCTTCGTGAAGTCTGTTCAGCGCTGTGTGGCTCTTTCACAGTTACTAGTGGAGCAGAACTTCCCCGCCATCGCCATCCACAGAGGAATGGCTCAGGAAGAGAGGTGTGTGTGTGTGTGCTTTGTGGTTATTGATGCATTAAACCAGAGATTCCCAAGCGTTTGACAGCCCAAACGTCTTTAAAAGTAGATATTTCAATTTAACAATGAACTTAAAAAATTAAGTTGCGTTTACATGTAATAAACGAAAACAAACAATACAAGAAATGCATTTTTTTTGGTTTGTGGGTTATAATATAATTTCAAAACACCCAATTTTTTGTTTTTATTTAATGTTAAAATTTAACTTTTTATATATATATAAAGGAAAGGGCTTTTGGTGTGTAGTATAACTTGTATATTAATTTTCATTTGAAAACAGTATATTGTAACCCACGACAATAAATTAATCTTGATGTTGACAAGCTATTTACATTTGTATATATTGAATAACAGTTCTGTTTATTTTTTTAATTGATACAAAAGGTGTGGACTCCAACCATGGACATTTGATGCTTTGGAATTAAAATTATTTATATAGATTATATAAATGTTAATGTAGATTTATGTAATCTATATAAATAATTTTAATGCCAAAGTATCAAATGTCCATGTTTGGTGTCCACAGAGCCTCATTGTCAGTCTCTTTTCCTTCATGGCAAACTCTTTTGGCGCTTTTCCACTGCATAGTACGGTTCGGCTCAGTACGGTTCGACTCTGCGCGGAACAGTTCGGCTCGCTTCGTGTTTCCACTGCGTGGTACGTTTTGAGTCGGTACGGATCGGTTCGGCTCGCTTAGCTCTGTTGCGTTTCCACTGCAGTAATACCCCTTCAAAGTGTGTGGGACTGATCGTTATTTGCGCGCGCCTCTACTGCCATGACATCATCTTAAAAGCGCCACATTTTCAAACCCACAACACAGGAACAATGGAGACTATCGAGGGGATGGTGTTCCTGATTCTCGGTATGTGGTTGTTTTTAACTGCTAGACGGAAAAATGTGTTTAAAATGAGGCTGATGGCAGCAAAACAAAAATACTGCTAAAAAGTGTCTCGTGTCGCAAATCCAATGACGCTAGTAGTGACGCTGGTAGTGACGATTCTGTCTGACCAATCAGTGATCTGCAGTGTTTCACGTCACATTTTAGTACCGGTACGGTACGCTTGGAACCTCAACAGACCAGGTACCATTTAAAGAGTCCCGAACCGCACTATACCGTACCATGCAGTGGAAAAGCGCCAAAGTGAGCCGTACCGAACCGTACCGTACTATGCATTGGAAAAGCGCCATTTAAGAACCGTACATTAAATTTAATGTATTTTGTTTTATGTAAGAAGTGTTTATTTATTTTGCTTTTAACCCCATTTTTCTGAAATCCTTGTTTTAAAGTCAGTCCTGAAAGACACACAACACATGCAATTAATGCCTCGACTTGTTTAATTGCTCTTTATAGAATTATTGCTCACTTGCTATTACAGAAATATCCATTTACACAAGCTTGTTTTTTTTTTTCAGCAGCAATTCCTGAACTATTTCCTAATACGTTTGTGATCGGCCCTCCTTCAGTGAGGTTAAAATGCGAGTGTTGCAATGACGTTTAGCTCCTTAAATGAGATGAACCACTCAGTTCAAAGCTTGTAAACGTGAGGGACTCTATAGAGCATTTCACAAGATGTTAACAACACTGGTCCAGAAGCACTTCCTGTTTCAGTTTGTAACTGTTTTCTTTATTTCACATGTAAAGAAAACATCTTAAAGATGTTTGTTTAACTTTTTGATTCAGTTTTAAAAGTTCTGTTGGTTGTATTTTATCCCAGCTTTTATGTAGTGTTAAACTGAAACAGGAAGTGCTTCTGGACCAGTGTTTACATCTTGTGAAATGGTCTATACGGACTGGATGTTTAAAGGCTTCAGTTTGAATCTCTGCTCGCAGGTTGTCTCGGTATCAGCAGTTCAAAGACTTCCAGCGGAGGATCCTAGTGGCCACGAATCTGTTCGGTCGAGGAATGGATATCGAGAGGGTCAACATCGTCTTCAACTACGACATGCCCGAGGACTCCGACACATACCTCCACAGGGTACGAATGCAAACGCGTGCATCAATGCTTCAGATCTCTGGAGGCCCGCGTCTCACACACTCTCGTCTCGTTCTCAGGTGGCTCGTGCCGGCCGCTTCGGCACCAAGGGTTTGGCCGTCACGTTCGTGTCAGATGAAACCGATGCCAAAATCCTGAACGACGTGCAGGACCGATTTGAGGTCAACGTGGCCGAGTTACCCGAGGAGATCGACATTTCCACTTACAGTGAGTCTTCGGTCTTGTGCGTTTTGAGCATGAAGGAATGAACCCTGATAATATCGGCTTGCAAATTGAATGCAACCTGAGCGGTGTGATTAATTGATAACCGTAATATTGGCGGTCGCTAAAGCGAGGCTATAGTTAATTGGATATTTTGAGGTTATTGGTATTGTTGGTTTCCCAGAATAATGATTTTATTCAGTGAATCGGTCAAATTTAAGTGTTAAACTAGATTAAAGACCAAGCTGTTGTCCTAGATATTGGGGTCACTGGTTTAACTTTCTCAGTTTGATTCGTTTCATCGTTAGCAAGTGCTTTTGAATTACTCAAACCCTCATAAGTACAGAAACTGGTTGAAAGAATGTGGTGTTTTGCATTTGAATTGACGTTCATCTGTTTGTCTCTTTCTCTGTGCAGTTGAACAGTCCAGATGAAGGTCTTGGCGTTTCCAGAACCGCAGATGTTGGTTTGCGGCAGGACGACAAACCTCTGTTTTTAAAGCCTCCTTTTTACCTCAAACCCACTGTTGTTTTTACCGCTTCTCGTCAGAGGATCAGGCGATATGTCTGTTTTGATTTTGTCAAAATCATGTCTTGTTTTGGGTTTTAATGAAATTAAAACTTTTTATATACCACACCTTGGCTGGCTGGGTTTGTCTTCTGGAGTGTTTTTTTTTTTATTTTTATTTTATTTTTTTTATTGGGTTTCCAAGTTTCTTTAGTACATGTTTCTAGTAATGCCTTGCTCTGAAATATTTTATCTGGATGTTGTGAAACTTGCAGGCCAGTGTCATAACCTCCATTTATTTGAGGTTAACTGATTGTTTTACTCCAGTTAATTGTATGTGGGTCAGGTCAACCCAAAATAAAAACAGTTTTTGCAAAGAAAATGAACCTTTCTTCTTTCCAAAGAGTCTTTGTAAAGTGTACCAACAGGCTGATTTCAAATGTCCATCCTCATTGGTTGACTCTGGACTACTCTTAAATTTTTTATAGAATATTTACATGTATTCATATTTATTATGGCGACCATAACATGCAGGTTTTTTTTTTCACGTAAAATAGTTTTTCTTTAATAGGTCTTGTTCACTTTAACTTTTTTTGAAAATGTAAAGAGGATATAAAAAAAACTGTATTATTATACTTGGTCTGCAATATAACAAATTAGAACAAATAATCACGTCTCTGCTGTGTTTTTACAAGCCAGTTTATTTGATACATGGTGAGTGGTTGTCCTCTCTTCAGAGGTAAAACACAAACGAGAGGAACTTCCTAGAGCAAGACCTTGGCATCTTGTTTTCAAAGTGATGGATGTGGTACTTAAGAAAGCATTAATCAAATATTGGCTACTCCGTCAGTACATTTGATGATTATATAAATCATAAAGATTTCTTTCTTTCTTTTTTTTTTTTTTTACAAAATACGTTTTAATAAAAGCATACAAACATCAGCTAAAATCAGATCGATTGCAATGGGCTATATGCACGCATAAGTTCCGCATTTGACGCAAGGATGCTCGTCCATTTCCGGTTGTGGAGATTAAAGAGGAAAACGGGATTATGGCAGAGTCTTAAAAATTTACTGTCCTCCCGTCTTTGAAACGAAACGTACATACGTTTAGATGTAATTTTATATAGTTATGTTTATTTAATATAATTTTAAAAAGAAGCATAACACAACAAGGGTCTGTTTTATCTGTTTTTGTGACTAACGTTTCTTTAGTATAACCATGGAGTATAAAATTCAATATAAATTCTCGGTATTGCATTGGACTCTACGATCGGCGGAAGTTATCGTCGATCATCCTTACACCTTCACCGGAAATACCGCCGTGCATAGAGCCCATAATACTTTGTTTACAATCGTCTACAACTTGACGATAAAACATACGATGCATTGCAGAAATTAACCAGATAGTTGCACCTCCGTCATTTGAATCATGTTCAACATTATTTCTGTGGGTTAACCATACACTGTATAAAACAAGTGGTTAATGTGATTAACTTTACCTTATGCAAAATCTGCGAGGAAATATGTTGCCATTCACGAACGCATAGATTCCTGACTGGATTGTGCCCGCGAAAATTCGCTGAACTGTAAGTGTTACGCACCATGATAACTTGTGCGAATTAATTGATTCGACGAGGCAATTAATATAGTTCATTTACACGAAACAACAGAAAGCCGTTCAATTTCATCACTTTACATATGGTAGCTTTTGTTGTTGTCACCAATTTTATGCAGTTCATTCAGTCAGCAGCTTTCTCCACATCGTCATGCTGCTGAAACGAAATTTTTTTTTTGACATGTAATTGTTTTTGTACTTAATTGAGGTACACGTTTATGATTGGGAAACATATCTTAGCAAAAAAGATCACAATCATTTTATGACAACATGGCTTCTCTTTTTCTCATGAGTTTGGTTATTTGTGTCTCAAAGCCTGTACAAACTCTTGTTCTTCAGGGCAAACGGCACAACGTCACCTCAGTCAGTTCATACACCAATGCCAGGCAAAAAATAGAGACCGCTGCTTCATAAAACACACTGACAACAGTGCCGTTTGCACGAGGCTCTGCCATCACGTGGTAGATTAAAGACCAGACTAGAGCAGCGTTTGAGAGAACCGTCCCACCCATTACTTTCAAATTACATGTTTACATCAGATGCTGGTGATTTAAACATATTTTTATTGCAAACCAGAGGGTTACTGGGTTTCTTTCTGCCCCCATAGAACAGGATTGTAATTAGCTGGGAGCAGAGGAGCCGACGTTTTGACGCCAGGGAGCTGCGGCGCTTGGCATGTATCCCTCGGAGTGTTGGTGGAGTCATGCGCTCACTAAATGGCTCAGCGTCGAGTCCACAAGCAGCCGAGCCAAAGCTTAAAACGACTTCCCGTCGAGTTTCCCTTGTATTTGCCGGCAGTTCTTTGAACGTCAAGGCAAAGCAATCACTACAAAAAGAAGTAAAGCCCAGCCCTTGTGAAGCTGAGAGTCTGTCCCACCATGTTTAAGTGTCTGATCTTGTTTTTTTTTTTTAAATTCTCCAAACCTGCTTAAAGTCTCATTTAGATTGTGCAGGTGCTCCATAATGCATCACTGTTCATGGTGAGGACCAGAAAAATCCATTCGTATTTGTATATATTCACGACAAGGGACACGTCCCGTCCTGGATCCTCAGGGAAAGCGCATCTATTCTAAGGCTCTTGGTACAAGGGATCTGACCTTTTTTTCCACGTGGATTGGCGTTATAATGAGGCCTCGGCCTGGCGTCTACACTTGGAAACGCTACTCTATTGGACGGGGAAGGACAAAGGGGCAGGTCTTCAGAGGAACGATCCGTTAATCGATGAACTTGTGCATGTCCCCGTAGAGCCAGCGCTGGGGCGGAAGCGCAGCGTCGTTCAGGTGCCCGCATTCGTCGTTGCACTTGCAGGACTGCACGAACATGACGGCCCTCTCGAAGCGCTCGCCGTCGGGACAGGCGAAGAGAACGGGGGCCGTTCGGGTGCGGCGGGGGGAGCAGCATCGCCCGTCCAGACACATCCCGCAGTAGTTGGGCCGATAGAGGCGTGTGCTGCGGCAGCCGCCGTAGCGTAGACGCAGAGGCTCGGGAGACTTCTGGGTACGGGAACACTTCCTCCCCTTCTGGTGGACAAACACAATGCAGGTTACACTCACATCTGCATTGGAAAACAAGTGTGCTGTGATGGCTTCAATGGGTTTCATCAGTTTAGCAGCGTGGACTATGTTTTTTTTAAACACCAAGGGCCCGTCCCAATACCCACACTTGTTGTCTTCACACTTGACCACTTTTCCATTTGCATGCAGAGTTTGGCCAATGTTGTGTTTTAAGACTCACACATGGCGAAGACTTACTTTTGTACAACCATTGTTGTATTTTTCTTCCTTCTAATATCGGTTTCCTGATCATTTTTAAAGACAAGCAAGGCTTTAAAAAATCCTCCAAAATAATCGTACACACTGTGAAACGTTGCAAGAGCCGCATTTCCATTGCGAGACTGTGCTAGTTACGAATACTAAAACTAGAAAAAGAAGAATTGCAGGGGCAACTAGAATCAAGACGGTAAACAACTATTGGGCTTCCTTTTATACTTTAAGCTGATGTTTATGATTTTGGTTTTGGTCTTCTCCCACAAGAAAGAGCCAAAGGCCAAATAATGATTGCATGGTTTAGATTTATGGATTTAATTTAATTAATGTTTTTAGTTGGTTATTACATGTTTTGTGTTGCTGTAGGTGGTGGACCAAGATACTAGAAAAGAAATGATTTTTTTTTTTTGCAGTGTATTTTTCTCTTGGGTTCCAGTACAAATATCTGAACATTCTTACACCGAGATACACTTACTTGAGAAGCAAAAATATTTAAAGCTGCAGTCTATAGTTTTTCCTATTTGTCGCCATCTCTGTTCAAAATCTGCCATTGCAGTTATTCACGGAATTATCAACTTTACGTGAGTTGTGATGCGTCACGGCACAGCGCGGATGAATCCGATGTTTTGAGGAGAATGTGCGGCTGTCAGACGGTGTGGATACTGGCATTCGCAATCACCGATTATACTTCTTGGAAGTATGACGAACATTATTTCATTGTAAATGTGTTTGATTTGTCCCTCGTTCTTAGCCTAGGAAAACCCAGACAATGTCCGGCAAATTTAGATTTGCTCTGAAAGTTAGTCTGGCAAAGAGGTCATTCAAGCCCATTTCCAATCTGTCGAAATACGCCTTATTCACGGCAGCGCCATCTTTGATTTTTAATGAGAATGAAAGCGAGGCTGTGAGGGATAGACTTGCATCTCTTCAATGGGCTGTACTGTTATTTAATGTGTTTTCGGATTATTCTGCTCATGAAACACTGGAAAAATACCTTTCAAAGAAATGTCAGTTGACAAAAAACTCCCGACAATGTAAGCTGTGGAAAGTTGTAAGTAATCTAGCCGCTTTATTCAGCTTTTTACAGCGGATGCCATTGGAAACACGGTAAGTCTATCCCTCACAGCCTCACTTTCATACCTGTCATGGCCCCGCTCTGAATAAGGTCTATCGCGGCACCAATCAGAAACGTTGGGGCGGGCTTTACACGATGACGACAGCGCTGCCGTCGAACATTGCTCGTTCGAATCAGCTTTCGCCTCTGTTTTAAGCGATTTGAACGTTTCCTTTTTGTTAAAAAAAAACCTAACAAAGAACACTCAGAGATGTTTCTCCGCCGCTCTACATACGCCATCTCCTTGGAAATGATTACGCTTTGCCAGACCATAATTCAGTTACAACTGAGAATCGTCTGGTTGCAGGCTACCTTGTTCTGTGTTGTATTGCAAATTAGGACCCCCTCGAAAACGTGATGGTTCATCTCAAGGGCTTTATCCTATTCAATAAACTCGTTAGGATGTTTCACTGGAAAATGTCATCCGAACAAGCAACATCCACTTTTGTTCTGACCAACTAATGTAAAAAAAGCATTGCAGTAAATCGCACTGATTAAATTTAACGATCATGTCAAACCGTGCAAATTATACTTTGCTCTTAAATTTTTAATGCTAACAACATTAGCATTGCGTGACTACATTTAATGTGTATAAAGGCTACCTGTAGTTCAGTGTCCATTTCTGTGCAGTC